GTCCTATCTCAGGATGATCTGCCCGGAGACAGCACTAACAAGCCAGAACCACAGGGTAATGGTGTCTCCGTCACTGCTTAGGCAGCTATCCAGAGACATACAGTACATTCACACACAGGGATACAAGAAACGACAGAGTGATGGAGCCTGCAGGCGGAGAGAGAGAGAGAGAGAGAGGGAGTGATGGGGAGGGAGGCTGAGTCAAAGAGCAGGGTGAAGGGAAAATATATATAGGAGGGGAGAGGACACCACAGAGCCAGAAAACTCTTCTGCTTTCAAAACCAAAACACGTTGTTAGCATCCAATTTCTGCTGGGGCCCTGCAGACAGCAAAGATATGCATGCAGATTCTCCTGAAGGATGTGCTGTGCAAATAATAACTCTGGTGAAGAGCACCAGCTTTAACTTTACTTGCAGAGATCAGCAGGAAACCACCTCATGTCAAGGCAATTTAGTTTGCATTTTTTTTCTCATCTTCCATGAAATGAGGAGCTCTTAGAAAATTATTCTGCAACTATTTTATCAATGAATCCACATTTCTGAGGTCATTTTTCAAGCGAGAATGTCAGAAATTCAAGTAGGACAACTTGCAGGGGGTAACCTCTTTCGGTTATGGCCTGCTGGTCAAACAATATAATCCATTATCTCTAACTGCTCATCCTATTCAAGGTTGTGGGAGGGCTGGAGCCCATCCCAAGGAACACTGAGCAAAGGCAAGACATCAGACAACCAGCGAAACCCTTAACACGTACAGGCAATTTAGAGGCAAAAATTAACCTAGCATGCATGTTTTTGGACTCTGGGAGGAAGCCAGAGAACCCGGAGAAATCCCACACAGACATGGGGAGAACATGCAAACTCCAGACCCAAGCTAGGGTGTGACGCAGCAGTGCACCACTGTGCCACCCTCAAACTAGTAGCTTAATGGAAAATATCCCCCAAGGTTCTGGGAAATTATCAGAGGAGAAAATAATAATTATAAGAAACAATAATTACATTTTTCATCAGTCACAGCCCAGATTCCCACCGGAGGATGTTGGCCTGTTTGTTCCACTCATCACTGCCTTGTGTTGCCTGTCATTGTGGCTAATATTAAATACAGCCACATATATGTGTGTGTGTGTGTGTGTGTGTGTGTGTGTGTGTGTGTGTGTCCATGAGTGTAGTAAAAGCAATGTTGATCCAGTCAGTTGTTCTGCACCAGCTGGGACTTGGACTGAGGGCAAACAACCAGTACACGCAGAATGTATGTGTCACCACAGAACATATGCAAACACAGCAGGAACATGCATGCAAATGTGGCCAGCTTGCACACACACCTGCACACACAGTGGCATAAACAAGTCAGTGAAATATACATGCAGCAGTCTGTTGTATATACCTATATATATTGAGTATAACTTAATATTTGGTGGGACACTCTTTGAATATTTTTGAAAAACCAACAGTGACTGGATGAAACAGACGATATAATCTATTCTCAAATAAAAGTATAAAAAGGTTGGTGAGACCGTGTGATGGATTTTTGGTCTTTCATAAGAATAACCAACATTTATTCAGAGATACTTGGGCCACTCAGTCCCAGAAGCAATTTCAATTTCCATCTGCAGTTTCCATGCGTCTTTATAATGCACCTCTCCCGAGTATGGCGGGACAAGACGTGATGTTATTGTAGTGGCAGGTTTGCACTCGGCCATTCGGCTTCATATTCATAAAAGTGCGACAGACAGATAGGAAGCAGGACGTGTTTTTCTGTGGAAGTAATATCACCCCCGGAAAATGTTCCCTCTCTGAGGCGAGAGCAAGGACAGAGAGACAGACAGACAGACGGGCAGACAGGCAGGTGGGGAAGCAGCGTACACAGTGGGTGCAGATGTTAACGGATGACAGATCACAACAGAGAGCACTGTGACGGCAGACTTACAGCTGACATTTTCAGAGCTATGACAATTAAAGTTTTACAACACATCATACTTCATCATACTCCCCCCGTTCCCTCTACTACACAGCCAAAATGTTTTATCTCTCTGCTTCTTTCTCTTCTCTGCCTCATCATATTTTCCCTCATCATCTGCCACATCACCCAATAATCCATAAGTGTGAGATATCAGCTGGACAGTGCTCTGCTGCCGGCTGTATCAGGCTGTCTCTTTATTTCAACATGCTGCTGCGAGCAGCACAAAAATCATTCTGATTCTGCATGCAAGTCAAAACAAAGTGCTCAACTAGTCAAACGATGGAACAAAAGGGCACGAGGAAGAAAGTGGGAGATGTAAATATATAACCATGCATACATAATGTAGCATGGTGAGTGCTGTTAGCTACACAGGCTCAGCATGTGACGCTATGTTTTTTTAATTTGGCAATATATACAATGAGCCAGCTGTGCTAGAAACACCCACTGATGTTGAGTCTGATGTTGCATCTCTGACATGACTTACAGACTTACAATGGGAAGAATCTTTTCCCATATTTTGTCATACAAAGATTTTGGATACAATTTTCAAAAGTCACGCTATGGAGTAAATGTAGATTTCTCATATTACTGCTGTTCATTTTCCTATTAGCCACATGTAAGGTAGAGCCAATAAAAATCTTGACAGTTTAAGACGAGGACTTAACTAACTTAGGTAAAAAAAGATTTAATGAGGGCAAATACTTCCTCCGTCAGACAGCGCCCTTGCTTGGACCACATCCATCTTCAAACTCGGCCTTCATATTGGTATTAACTACTCACCTGTTAAGTTTCATGACTGCATCTTGCAAAGTTGTGACACTGTCACGGCGACAAAAACTGTCCACTGACAGACAGAAGATAAATTTTATCAGTGGATCTAATTTTTAAAGTACCTGGCAACAATGGCTGCCAGATAAATGTACTGAAAATGTAGTGCAGTGATGCTCTATAGTGCCATAAAATGGAGATACACAAGTAAAGCATCTCAAACTTTACTTACTTTCCACCACTGTCTAGCACAGTGGTTCCCAACTGGTGGGTGCCGGCCCAAAAGTGGGTCACAGACCCATTCTGAATGGACCGCAATTGACTTGCGAATTTGTCTTTATTTTGAAGTACAATCAATTTCTGGCACAGAGCTTTTATTTTGAAGTGACATTTCCCGCTTTAGAGTGAGTGACTAACGGACGGCTATTAAAGAGTGACAGTGAACTAGCTCGACAACATGGCAAATCGCAAGTATGACACTGAATATATCAAACTACATGAAGCGGCGATTGTCCCTTCCCTACTTCCTATCCCCCTATTTCCAAGCCCTTGCTCGGACCACACCCATTTTTGAACTTGACCTTTATTTATTTATTTATTTATTTATTAAGATTATTTTTTATGGGCTTTTTGCCTTTAATGACAGGACAGTTAGTGAAAGGGGGAGACAGAGAGAGAGTGGGGACTGACATGCAGCAAAGGGCCGCGAGCCGGATTCAAACCCGTGGCTGCTGCAGTGAGGCAATGCCTCTGTACATGGGGCGCCGGCACTATCCACTATGCTACTGACGCCCTGAACTTGACCTTTATTTTGATTCCAACTACACACCTAAAATATTTTGTGAGTGCATCTTGCACTGTTGTGAAATTCTTTCCACAACCAGTCAGACAGAGAGACAAAAACACCTGGCCAAATACTCAAAACCACTATGATGAGTGTCACCTGGACCATATTTCACGACAATGACACACACACAGACTAACAAGGTGAAAACAATACCAGCTGTCATGATGTTGTTAGGCTGGTAATGACTGCTCTCTTTCTTGATTAAATTCATTTTGCTTTTATAACTCGAAAATCATACATTTTCAGTCCCTTGCTTAGAAGAACAAACAGTTTGTATGCAGTATGCTTTATTTCTCAAGCATTTTCTTGTGCCTGAGCAACTTTTATCTTACGCAAAACTGTCTGGTGTTCACATGATTAGAGATGACACTGTACACATAATGATGAGATTAAAAGTTGATGAAACCTGGCAGCAGAGAGCCAATGTTCCTTCTTTCTCACTCACTCACACACACACACACACACACACACACACATGCACAAAAATATAGCCTTCCTCCCCTTCTCTTGGCCCTGTGGCTCTGTAGCATCTCCATAAGCGACCTTGAGCTGTGAGCCCTGTCAGCATCCACCTTACATGTATGCATTAATGACTGAATGTATAAACACAGCCAGTATTCATTATTCAGACTGGATCACACAGCACTTTTCTCCACTTTAAATCTTTGATATGTGGACTTTTAAAGTTGTCAACCCCAGACTTACAGTTAACATAGGAGTAAATGTGTGTTTAATCTAAAAACCTCCACCCTCATAGTTAGTATCAACGTCCGTGTATCTTGGAAATCCTCATCTTGACATTTAAATCAGTGGACAACTCAGCCACTGCACAAACTGTAGTGGACAACTCTGAAGATCCAATTACTGAGGGATTTCTGAGAAGAAAAAAAAATATCTTGGCACACTACCAAAGGGTCCCAGCAGAGTTGGCTGAAAGTAATGACTGTTGCTATGCACACACAGGGAAGGAATCCTGAAACAATGAAACACAATGGTGTAGGAGGTGGAGTGGGGTGTTATTGTGCTCCTGCAGAGTCCTGAGATTGCAATGTCCAGTGCTGCTGCCTATAAATTCACTGCACAGAAACAACATCAATTATTCACTTTTTTTTGTAGATGATAACTTATTCATACAGGAGGAACCCTGCAGCATTATGGGAACAGGCACTGGTGCCTCAGCTATATTGAATTTAAATTATATTAAACTATCTTTGTTTTTGCTTGGGACCACATACCGACCCCTGCTGGTCCCACTCCCCAGTCCGGCTGGGTGTGTATAAACACAACAAACAAGCCATCAGTGATAACAGCCTTAGGTGGACTCCTGCTGAGAGGATGCTGCTGATCACACACACCTGCCCGCAGTGCGCCTGCCTCACCACGGTGTCCAAAAGCAACAGCATCCTCCTCCTCCTCCTCCTCCTCTTACCTCCTGTAATTGCTCCAACTCCTTCCTGAGAGTCTCCTGCTCGATCTCCAGGTCTGCATACTTCTGCTTCAGCGCCTGGTTCTCCTCCAGGACGACGAGACCGCACTCCGCAGCCCGGATCTTCTCCCGGTTCGCCTCGGCCAGCTCCTGGGTGAGCCGCTCCACCTCGGCCCGGTACTGATACACCGATTCCCCGCATACTCCATCCGCGGCCATCGCCCCTCTCTCTCTCTGTCTCCGTCTCTGGCTGTCCCCCTGTCGGTCTGCGGTTGCCCCCTTGTCTCTCCACCGCTTTGGACAGAGCCACAGAGGCGGGCGGAGGCTGAGAGATGCTGAATATCCGCCCCCCTCTCCTGAGTGAGCCACAGCAGGCAGGCAGGCAGTGGAAACACTAAATTAATACACAAATACTTATATTCTCCTCTGCAACATCATCACGAGCATCCAACAGCAGGTTATTGTCATTAAACGTCCATATCGGCTGGTAGATGGAGCCCTGCGATTTAAAACCAGGTCAGAGTCTTCAGTGTGACACTCAGCAAAACACAGAGCAGCATTTCTGCTTATTCATGGGTGCAAGGGCGCCCCCTGTCCTCTGCTGCCAAACATAGCATCCACATCCTTGTTTTCAATAGCAGGAAACCTGCATCACTTCAAGATAAATGGTCCTGCATGCTCTCAGTATTTACACTTCACAATATGTGGTTATGCACTAGTTATGGCTGAAACCACTGTAGTGTATTTATTATAAATCGCATTTGTCAAGAAAATTTAGTAGGGCTTTATCTTTTTAAAGTGGGACATGTAAATATATAACCATGCATGCATAATGCAATATGGCAAGTGCTGCCAGCCACAAAGGCTCAGCATGTTTTTTTAATTTGGTAATATATACAATGAGCCAGCTGTGCAGACGAGTCCAATGCTGTATCTTTGACGTGACTTACAGACTTAAAATGGGAACTAATGGCTTCCCATATTTTTTCATATAAAGATTTTGGATACTTTTTTTTAAATTCATTTTTATTTTCAAACATACAGAATTGGGTAAGTGTAGATTGGCCATATTTCTGATGTTAATTTCCCTAGTAGCTACAATTTGGCATCTGTGCAAAATAAATGGTTCCGCATGCTCTAATACTTTTCAGTGGAAGAGAGAGCAGAGGGATTGTTTTTCACTGTCCATGTACAGTTTCATGATGTTCTATATTTGATGTAGACTTTCATTTTCATACTGCTCATTTAAAATTATGATGTTAAAGCATACCTTTATTTTTCTGAAGTTCAAGCTTCATAGTTGTTGCTTGGTGGGTTGAGCGGCACGCTGGCATGGCTAGCACGCTGTTAGCCGGTGGTGTTGAAGACAAAAGTGAAAATAAAGCTATGCAGGGTTGTATTGAGTATGTGGTGGAGGTAAATACAGGGCTACTAATCTGAACTCAACAGGCCAAATTTTGGGACAGGTGTCTATATGGGACAGGCCTGTAATTCCTTTACACAAAACTGTCGCTCAGCAAACTTCGGGAAATATGATCAAATTGTTCATTTAAACTAGAATGAATATTAATTGTTTAAAAAATTAGGCTTTTAATACCATATCAATGTGTGTTATGTTGTGACACTTGTTCCAAGGCACCTGAGGATTACAGCACCCTGCATACCAACACAACACCACATTATCCTGTTAAAACAACATTCATAACTTGGATTAATTTTTGTTAAAAACACTTTTGATTCTTTTGATCAATTGACCCTAACAGACAAAAAATATACAGTACAGGCCAAAAGTTTGGACACACCTTCTCATTCAATGCGTTTTCTTTATTTTCATGACTATTTACATTGTAGATTCTCACTGAAGGCATCAAAACTATGAATGAACACATGTGGAGTTATGTACTTAACAAAAAAAGGTGAAATAACTGAAAACATGTTTTATATTCTAGTTTCTTCAAAATAGCCACCCTTTGCTCTGATTACTGCTTTGCACACTCTTGGCATTCTCTCCATGAGCTTCAAGAGGTAGTCACCTGAAATGGTTTCCACTTCACAGGTGTGCCTTATCAGGGTTAATTAGTGGAATTTCTTGCTTTATCAATGGGGTTGGGACCATCAGTTGTGTTGTGCAGAAGTCAGGTTAATACACAGCCGACAGCCCTATTGGACAACTGTTAAAATTCATATTATGGCAAGAACCAATCAGCTAACTAAAGAAAAATGAGTGGCCATCATTACTTTAAGAAATGAAGGTCAGTCAGTCCAGAAAATTGCAAAAACTTTAAATGTGTCCCCAAGTGGAGTCGCAAAAACCATCAAGCGCTACAACGAAACTGGCACACATGAGGACCGACCCAGGAAAGGAAGACCAAGAGTCACCTCTGCTTCTGAGGATAAGTTCATCCGAGTCACCAGCCTCAGAAATCGCAAGTTAACAGCAGCTCAGATCAGAGACCAGATGAATGCCACACAGAGTTCTAGCAGCAGACCCATCTCTAGAACAACTGTTAAGAGGAGACTGCGCCAATCAGGCCTTCATGGTCAAATAGCTGCTAGGAAACCACTGCTAAGGAGAGGCAACAAGCAGAAGAGATTTGTTTGGGCCAAGAAACACAAGGAATGGACATTAGACCAGTGGAAATCTGTGCTTTGGTCTGATGAGTCCAAATTTGAGATCTTTGGTTCCAACCGCCGTGTCTTTGTGAGACGCAGAAAAGGTGAACGGATGGATTCCACATGCCTGGTTCCCACTGTGAAGCATGGAGGAGGAGGTGTGATGGTGTGGGGGTGTTTTGCTGGTGACACTGTTGGGGATTTATTCAAAATTGAAGGCACACTGAACCAGCATGGCTACCACAGCATCCTGCAGCGACATGCCATCCCATCCGGTTTGCGTTTAGTTGGACGATCATTTATTTTTCAACAGGACAATGACCCCAAACACACCTCCAGGCTGTGTAAGGGCTATTTGACCAAGAAGGAGAGTGATGGAGTGCTGCGGCAGATGACCTGGCCTCCACAGTCACCGGACCTGAACCCAATCAAGATGGTTTGGGGTGAGCTGGACCGCAGAGTGAAGGCAAAGGGGCCAACAAGTGCTAAACACCTCTGGGAACTCCTTCAAGACTGTTGGAAAACCATTTCAGGTGACTACCTCTTGAAGCTCATGGAGAGAATGCCAAGAGTGTGCAAAGCAGTAATCAGAGCAAAGGGTGGCTATTTTGAAGAAACTAGAATATAAAACATGTTTTCAGTTATTTCACCTTTTTTTGTTAAGTACATAACTCCACATGTGTTCATTCATAGTTTTGATGCCTTCAGTGAGAATCTACAATGTAAATAGTCATGAAAATAAAGAAAACGCATTGAATGAGAAGGTGTGTCCAAACTTTTGGCCTGTACTGTATATAAATAACTTAACAGGTAATCAAGGAATGGACACATATTCTGACTTAGTGACAGCTTCAGAAGAAGGGAGTCACTACTTCATTTTTCATCATGCTGGTAAATTTGAATAAATTATGGTCTCCTCTGGTGCTTATGGTTTTTTAATGATGTGTAGCATCTCCATACTGACAAAACATTTACATTTGTATATGCGATCTATACACTATACAGCTAACTAACATTAGCTCAAGTGGGTAGTGAAAAATCCAGTTTTATAAATCCAGAGAAATTCTGTAAAAATGAACTGCTTGGAAACCAAACCAATTGGGACCAGGCTTTTAATTGAAGTTTTAAGGTATATCTAAGTGGTTTTCCACTGTCACTTACTGCAGGTGCATGTTGGTGTAATTAATTGACGCGCGCCAGGCTTGGCTCTCACAAAACAATGTCCAGACATTTCCCATTGCTTTGCTCCATTTATTGCTTCCACAATTTAAGCACAAGAAGGTACAGTACCTTGGTTTATAGCAATTAGGTAGCCTATTATTTAATACTGCTCCTATCTGCAGACACATCAGCCACAGTCAAAAAACTGTTTGCTTCTACTCATGCACGCCTGGCCTCATTAACCTGGCTGTATAAATGTACTCCCGCAGGAAGTTGTCACAGTGCCACCCACAGTACAAAAATGTTTTGCAACAAAAAATAAACACACACAGATAAATGGCTGTAAATGTAAATAAATAAATAAATAAATATATTCATGGAAAATCTAAATATATATATTCAACAAATAAAACTTACTTTAGAATAACACAGTGTTGAGAATCTGAATTGATTTAAGATTAAGAAAAGATCTGTGTGTAGTTACATAGATGTTATACCGTACTGTATACTATACTGTTATGCATGCAATGTTTCCATCATATATAGTAACATCTCTTAATGCAGTGGTGTCAAACACATGGCTTGGGGTCCAGAAGCGGCCCGCCAAAGAGTCCAATCCAGCTCTATAGGTGACTTTGCACACCTAATGTTGATGCAAATGTGAAGGCTGAGAGGTTTCAGGAGCAAATTTAACAGTGAGCAGATAATGTCTTAGAGGCTTTTCCACTCTGACCAGAATACAGCTCTCTGAAATAACAATGTTTCTGTGGTCATATTTAAAGATATTGAACACTGTGCAACATATTGTCAACCAGCAGCTTCAGTTCAAAAAAATCTGTGTCAGACTTCTATCTTAAAAAAATATGGGTGGAACCTTGCTGCTGAGGCACTGATAAAACTTCAGATTGTGAGACAGGAGATGACTTAACCTGCTTCTTCAATAGCTTCCACTTTAGTGCGCAATTATAAAAAAAAATGCACATGTAATGAAAGCGAGCAGAAGACTGACTGAATGTGGAAAAACTGAGACATACTGTTGAATTTCCATATGATTTTTCTGAGGCTATTGCAGGCTGTTCATCATTTGTTTTGTAAATGGCTGAACTTGCGGACTTCTGTATATTAAAGAAAAGGGAAAAATTTGAAGGGGCCCACTTGAGATCCATGTGGCCCATGAAGTAAAATGAGTTTGACCCCTGTCTTAATTCATTACTGATCTCTTACACAGACATTACACTGATCACAAAGCAAATAGGAAAAATAGGCAACTTTTAAAGTCACTCTCTGGATATTTGCTTTATTCCATACAAGTCAGTTTAACTAATTTATTTTCACTCATTATCCAAAAACAGAGCTTTCATTGTGTCACTGTCACCGTCATACCAGAGAGGAGACCTGTCAGTGTGAGGTCCTATTAGTCTCAAAGTCAGTCCTGTGCTCAGCAGCAAGATAGACGACACGGAGCTTTGACTGTTAACTCACACTGGGTAACAAACACTTATATTTAAAAAATATATATATATTATATCTCATGTGTTACATCTTTGTCCGTAGTACCATTCAGGACGATGACAGTTAATGTATGGTGTATCAATTCAATGTCATGAAAGTGTTTTTAATGCAAATGTCCAAGGAAACTGTGACATTTTGGTTTGGGCCAGAACATAAGATCCATGTCTAGCAGTTCACTTTGCTTCGTGTCCATCTGACACTTCCTACTATAGATATTTGTAATCGCAGTAGCATAACCCACATTGTGATAAATTGTGGTTACACAAGTGTGGTCAAGGTTTTTTGTTTGATGCTCTCCACCAACTGTTTGTGTCCTCTTTAACCCTGCCCCGGCAGCCAGGAGAACAGTCGATCTTACAGCAAACACGTGCAATAAAAGCAGATATGAGCAGGGTGAAAAGTTTAACTGTTCTCAGAGGCCTGTTAAACGTAATCAGTTATGGTACTGTCAAGTGAGTTATGGTGTTGATAGTGAAGGCGATGCTGCATTATCTGTCTTATAATTGATAATTATTAAATGGTCTGTGTAATACTTCTTGAAAAGGACGGGATGTGAGCCGGTCCATTTATTGGCTTTTCATAAAACAATATCACTGTCATAACACGCACTTGTTGTACAAGCTGTTACATTATTACCGGAAAGGTTGTGAAATGCAGTGACAGTAGTCTGTGTAATATTGGTTTAGCAAGTAAATAAAGATGAAAAAAATACATCCATGTACACAGTTTTTGTACTTTTTTAAATTATTGACATACATCTACAGCACTAATCTATACCTTCAGCTGGTATTTTCCTTATGATCCTATTCAGTAAGTTCTCTAATACCCTCCAGCTAACCCCGATTTACGAGCCCAAATTAAGATAAGGGGAGGTTGTCAGAAAGTCAAACATATGAACAGTTTATGGCGGCGCTGTATCTTATCTCTGACAATGAAGTGTGGTGTCATGAAAAAATCTAAATGTTCTCCTGCACAGTAACACAGCACAAATACAGCTGTCTACCAAGAAGCATACCACAGTGTCTTTAAGCCTACACTTGTATGAATGTATCACAAGGTCTTTCATTACAAAGAAAGCCAACTGCTTTCAGTAGCCAGCCAGGATATCAGTTTTGATGTCAAATTTATTGGTACATTTTTTTTTAAAAAGTTCATTTTTATTCCAGTATATTTCAGTATATACAACACATTTTGAAATTAAAGCCAACTTATCAATTGTATGGCTTACAAATTACAGTCTACCGTAGTATTTTGAGTGGCTAGAAACTCAAAATTTTAACACAGCAGTGTCATTATTGTTGAGGTATACCGAAGGTGCTATCTGTCTGTCCACAGCGGGTCAAAATACAGAGTCCTGTGATCTGGGGAATGTGTGTTGGTCAGCAAGGCGGGTGTTAGTGTGGCTCTGAGGAATAGCAGTGATTGGAGGGGTTTAGGTAAACAGCATGGCAGCCAGCACACCGCCTGCAGCGGGGGCTCCTGTAAGAGCTGAGAGAGCACACACTGATCAGACGTCATCTCACAGAAGAAACAAAGGAGTCACTGATTTAACCAGTATTATATTATGCATGCTTAAATCAAATTTCCAGTATCAAATCATAGTATTGTATTTGAAAAGACTGTCACTTGAGTCTTGATGCAAAATAGAAAAAACTTTCTTATACACACACATTATAACTGTTCTTTTAATTATTTATATGTCAATTGACTTTTATTTAACTGTATTTTGCTTGTTACATTTTTTTTATTATTTTACTCCATTCCTCTTTTAATACTGTAACTGCTGTTAAATTGTCAACTCTTTTGTTTTTTTTTTAAAAACATTAAAACAAGTAATTCTTATATCATATGTACTGTTCTGTTGTAAAATACATAATCTCTAGTTACCTCATAGTAAAGCCGGGGATCATGGCTGGCTGGCTGTACGTCCTGTCTGGCCATCAGTTCTATATCCTTCAGTGTTTCTGCCTTCCTCCATTTGGCTCTGCGGTTCTGAAACCAAATCTGAAGCACAAACAATACATGTGAATGAATGTAACTAGAATAACACAATATATATAATTTTTTGTCATAATGCCTTATGTAAGCAGCTATCTGAAGACCGGCGGTATTGTATTGTTCCATTGATGACTATTTAATCAGTCTATACTGTTTGAGAACATTATCTGAATTGTCAGTAACCCCAGTTTGACTTATTGACAGATTAAAAACAAATGTCAGCAATAATCAGATGCAAAATAAATCCATATGTGTGGTAACAATTTGCTGATTTGACCAAACTTTATAATAAAATGCATAAAATTATGATACAGGTTTGACAAAGAAATCACAATTGCTGCTATGCTCCTGAGACCCTGTGTTCTCATATGAGGACATCTCATGTTGGGTTTACTTGACCTTATACTTCAATCTACTTGGACACTTTTTCTGTGCCATCGAGTGGTAGTACTGTATGAGCACAATACACTAATCCATGTAAAAACAAGATGGTGCCAAGTCAGTCTGCACCAGATCCCGACACAAAAATGGACAAGGTCCAAAACCTGATCACATTTATGGTTGAAACTTGTTTATTTATGATTAATAATGTTTGTAGTTTGATAAGGCAACAAATTTGATCAATTATAGCAACAGTAACAGCTTAGAAACTGTTAGTTAGGAAGTATTCATTTGAAGACATTGGGACTTTATTGTTGTACTGTTTGAGGACACTGGGACTTAATTATCATTGACAGTGTTTAGTTTTTAAACTTAACGGGTCCTTATTGAATCCTGAACAGCTCAGAGGAATTAAAAATTCATAGGAGGCTCTCAAGAGGCTATTGTGTGGATATGAATGTCATCAGAGTAATGTAACATCATAAAATATTGCCTCATTTTAATCTACTAAATATTGCAACATTTAAACAAATAAATCATTGATGTATTATTTCATGTTGCTGTGATTATTCTTTGGAAAAATCAAAAGAACAAAAACTGTCACTAACACCAGTGAGTATGCTTGCTAATTTCTAAAGACTGGCAAAGACTAAGACAGTGAAAGTCCAACAAATGCACTATGTGAGAAGCTGTAGAGCTGCAATGATTAATTGATTAGTTGTCAACTATTAAATTAATCGAAAACTAATCTTATAATCACTTAACCACTTTGAGTCATTTTTTAAAGAAAGAAAAAAGTCAAATTCTCTGATTCCAGCTTCTTAAATGTGAATATTTCCTCATGTCTTTTCTCCTCTATGTCACTTAACTGAACATATTTGGGTGTAGATGTAACAAGACATTTGAAGGCTTTGGGAAACACTGATTAACTTATTTTTTCACACAATTTCCTGACATTTTATAGACCAATCAAGTAACTTATCAACAATAAAAAGAATGGGCCTACTTGTATTCGGCCCTCAGTGAGGTGCAGGCGAGAGGCTAACTGCTCTCTGCTGTTGACGTCTGGGTATTGAGTCAGCTGGAAGACTTTCTCCAGCTCCTGCACCTGAAACGGTGTGAAAGTGACCCTCGTTTGCCTCTTTTTCCTCTGACCTGTGGACACATTATTGTCACTGACATCTTCCTCATCAGCATCATTTAAACATGGAACCACAAGCTTCTACTTCCTTCTATTTTATTAATAATAATACTCACTCATGCAGTTTGTGCTGGCTTTGGGAGATTCTTCAAGTAGTCTGTTTTGTGGAGCTTCTATATTGGAGAGAGAAATCCAACATTGGCAGGAATATTTTATTGTAATCATGTTTTAATCATCAACTATGATGTAGCAACTCCTCCTTAAAAAGAAAACAACACTAAAAGAATAGTAAAAAAAGAGTGATAAAACCCACCTGTACATGAGAGCTGGTTCGATATCCTGGTGTTACGATGCGCTCTCTTCTCTTTCCTGACACATGTGGGCCTCCTCAGGATTTCTTCAATCGAATGGGATAATTTTTTTGGCTGAGATTCCATTTCCTGCTCCACGCAGGGCTCTTTCTCCGTATCTCCTCTATTCCACGTTCCCAGAAGTTTATCCCCTGCCATCAGCTGCCTCTGCAAACTACAGACTTTATTCCCCAGCATTTAGGATCTCAAATTATCCTCTCGTGAACACCTCTCAGGTTCTGGAAGCTGTTGTCAGCCTGCGTTTGACCTGCATCACATGGTCATTATCAGGGAGGAGTGACTGGCAGCATGTAACTGCATACTTCTAGGAAAAGCTTCCTCTATCAGTGTCCCTAGAGAACTTTTAATTCAAGGCGTGCTCATTGTAAATATGTAAACGTGATATTATTATCGGCCTTTATCACTCTTTAACACACATCATTTAATAGAACTGACTTGTTAAATTTACTCTGAGGTTTACCTGCCTTCAGTATAACCAGCATAAAAACCAAATCTTGTAGGCCCAAACACTGACTAAATCTCTGTGAGTCTGTAGTTTGATTCACAGCTGCATAATATTCAACTATAAAACATATTTAAACTGTTGCTTCTCTTTCTTATCACCACATTTATTGGAAGGTTAATCTTTATCACCTTGGCCTCACTATGCCCTCTTGCACTCCAGTTCACCTTTCAGACACACTGGGAACGCAAGCTGGTGGTGACTCCTTGTGGTGTGTGAGGGATCATGTCCTATGGGTTCAGTATGTCTCCATCTAGTGGTGCTGAGTCTTCAGTACATTCATCTTTGATTTTGTGATCTTGTGCATCAAACCAAAGATCAGGTGATATTAATAGACCTTTCTTCATGGGAGACATTTTGATATTTCATAATAGGAAAGCACAGATGTCTTTGATATCATACATGGTGGCTGCATTCCAGTTAGAGGAGGTCCTGGATTACCTGGATAGCTTTTCTTGCTATGACACAGTAAGTCCAAATGTCTGCTGTGGGGAAGACCTACAGAGTGGTTATGTAAGTTATGTTTTAACATGATAAACCAAATCAACCTGAGAATAAAGGATTAGCTTGAAGCAGCTGATAGAGAAAGCGATCTTTACTGGCTGTGACAGTGGACAGTGGATCTCAACAAAAGTTTGAAGATGGGTGTGGTCCGAGCAATAATGCAGGAAGTAGGAGAGTGGGAAGTAAAGAAGGGGTCACTGGCTCCCATGCTTTTTGCCCCCGGCACACATTCATTTTAAGCTGTGGACTGACATCACAGCTTGAGTGATCCCATTTGAAGATTGTCACTAGTTTGGTCTTTAGGTTCAACTTTGCAACCCATAAAGGTAAAGGAAATACAAGCTACATTACATACCATCGCTGGCCACTTTATTAGGTACACCTTGCTAGAACCGGGTTGCCTTCAGAACTGCCTTAATTCTTTGTGGCATAGATTCAACAAGGTGCTGGAAACAGTACTCAGAGATTTTGGTCCATATTGACATGATAGCTGCACATCCATGATGCAAATCTCCCGTTCTACCACATCCCAAAGGTGCTCTATTGGATTGAGATCTGGTGACTGTGGAGGCCATTGGAGTACAGTGAAGTCATTGTCATGTTCAAGAAACCAGTGATGCTCGGTTTGAACTTCTTGTCTTGACCATGTCTACATGCCTAAATGTATTGAGTTGCTGCCATGTGATTGGCTGATTAGCCATTTGCATTATGAGCAGTTGAACCACTGTACCTAATAAAGCAGCCGGTGAGTGTATATGTTATGGTAGCAGAAGTGAACTAATAAAGAGTGAAACAATCAAGTTGTCTTTCGTGTTATTTAATAAAGGGTTCCATTTTAAAGGTCAGAGCTCTGACTCCTGGAGTGTCCTCCGTATGTCCAACAAAGAATTACAGATGCAGTTGCATAATGAAGTTAAAACATGGAGGAGGGAGAGTAGAGAGGCCTCTGGCTTACTAATAAGTTTAATGAGAACAGGAACAAAGCAGGTCTCTCATACACAGATGGGATGTGTTCAAGGACATAGATCAGTTCAGGTCAGGATAAAACTTACAGAGTACTCAGAGCAGGGTATTACATGTCTATATGGTAATGATACTTTTTGTTCCTGCATATATAAGCTTCCAAGGTTAGTGTGTATGCACGGATACACACAACCTTAAAGACACACTCCAGAAATTCTGCATTGCACCTCATTAAAGTTAATGGTCAGGCAGAGACTGTAGGTCCTTATACGGGTCAAGCTAAAAATGCTGGACAAGATACTTCCTGTGACATGACCAATAGAATTTTTTGTCTTCTCAATGCCTTTGTCTTTGAACGTGGTGCCCCCAGTTGTAATGTGGCCTTTCTGTTAAAATTAAGCCTTGTCCGAACCCACATTGAGATAACCCTCATGACATCATCAGGATAATCTTCCCCTGGACTTTAGAAAACACATCCAGAGCGAGGCTGAGTATATATCCTCCATGCTGGGTAAGCTGACCTTGTAAAATCAGTGAGTGCACCTTCAATATATAAATATCACACACATATGTGCACACGTGTGACGTTACACAAGTGATGCAACATAACAGTATTGACATGTTAAATACACGTCCAAATGCTAGGTTAATCTTTCTAGTACACTTAGTTTTTGATTTTCACTCTCAGCATGTGGGTGGTGGTGTTATCTTCCTCTCCTGTCACTCATGAGTCACAGAATGTGTAGTCATATGGTGGACCTGTTATCCTACAGTGAATCAAACATATTTTATGGATAAAGTATTTGCTTTTGTGGAAACAAATTTCAAGCGTATTGTAAGTGATTATTCAAATTCAACCAAAGCTTCTTTCTTTGTAAAATTAGCATGGTCACGGGATGCAGTGAGGCACTGGATCAGAGGAAACCACAATCTGAGAGCCAAAACATTTTGACTCAGGCAGTTTTTATCCAGAGAGGATAAATAACTTCATTGTTTTGCTGTTATTCTGCAATTTTTCTGGTGCTGTTTCACTGATACAGTTTTATTTCTACCAAATTTTACAGCCTCATAAAACCTGATCTGCCCCTGATGATGCAACATACCAGTCAAGAATAGAGAATAAACTTTGGTGTTGAATGTTTCTTGACAGGAGCAAGATACTCCTCCAGCTAAATGATTCCCCTGAGGTCAAACTGATTCTTTATGCCATCCTGATTCATTATAAAAATCTTTGTTGCCGTCTAATTTGCTCAGTAAAACTATAGCAGAATCTTCTTTTGTACACATCTTCTTAAAATAAAATGAGTTGGTATTTTGTAATCCTGGTTAAATATCTTGTTACAATGAAAATAAAAATGTCTTTTCTGATGCACACTGAAATCTCTTTACGTCATAAAGATGTCTTCAGCACAAAAAATAATGGTTTAAATGCTCTAATGTTCCAAATATTACAATTACCAACCTATTGTGTCATTTAGGTATGAGAGAGTGTTGATTATAACATCGACCAGAGAATCCAGGTCTCACATAATGGAGCTGAAACCTAATTCTGAGTAGGAAAAAAATGGCCTTTTAGATAGCTTTTGGTTCACATTTGAATTTCACATTAGACCTTAAATTGAAAACAATATTGATTACACGTGCAACACATTATTCTGTAAAAGATCCCCTGTCCTCTCAGTGATAGACTGGACGCTGCCTCTCCCCCAATTTGATTACAGGGAAGTCTCTCAGATACACATTTAAAAAGTTCACTGTCCCTGTGGCCTAATGTGGCCTCTGAGTTAGAGCATGACGCAAAACTCAGATGTGACCGTGATCACGTCAGCAACAATAAGTCGAGGCTCAAGCTTCACTAAAGCGACTATGCTTTGGTGACTGGACACACGGGTGACAACAGTGGCTCCGCTGCTTTTAACTCCCAGTTCAACCAGTAGCAGCTGTGAGGCTAAAATTATACCATGGCACACATTTAACATACATAGTTCAGCCTTTATGAAGTGTCAGTCCCAGGTCTTCACTACCTGACATGTGATGGATCCTCGTACAGTATAATGCACGCAATGTCATGTGCACACCGAGCAGAAGACCTCATGATGTCTTGGCGCTGCTTCTCTCTATGCTTTGCATGTGAACTCAATTTACTCAACTGTTCTATTTGGGGCATTTTGTCAAGCTGGCTTTCCTTCTTACTGAACATCCACAACAGCGAGGACAAAAGCGTCCTCATAAAATTCTGTGACTTAAAACTACTTTTTGAGCATTAAATAACCTAACGTTAGAGATAATTATCAGCTCCATTGTCCTGCTGTATGAAGGTTGTCTGCAGGTTATAGACTTGCAGCAGTGCTATCAGCATTGCTGAAAGGATGGCCACGCCGTTTAGTTCGATATTGGTCCACTTTGGGTCGAGATGGGTTGCCATGACAGTTAGTGAAAGCTTTTGACAACAATTTGCAATGACACATTATACAAACATTCGTGAATGTAATAACTTTGATTATATTTTTAATTTAAACCACTACCAGATCTAAATTTGATTTGTTCTGTAGGCTGCTTGGGTTAATGACTACTTTTGATATGACTACTACTAATACAGCCTGAACTGCATTTGTTTTTAGCGCTAAATGTTAGCATGCTGCTACATGTAACTAAGACAGTGAGCATAGTAAACATTATATCCACTTAACATTAACATGTTAGCATTGGCATTGTGTGAGTATGTTAGCATGCTGACGTTAGCATTTAGAGCTGCTGGAGTGGCAGTAGACCTTGGATACTTGCCTTGCTTTGCCCAGGGGTACATTTGCAAAATGACAGATGCCAGTTATAAACAAACAGTAATCATACTTATCAGTATATATAATAAATGAAAGGCCTGAAATGCCCAAACTCTCGGGGTGACTGAGTCCTGGAATCGTGACTTAGAGGTACAGGGCTTTGAACTTGACTGGGACAATATTTGGTCTAATATATTTATTTTATCAAAAAATCCAGCATATCAGCTTATACACTTTAAGTTTGCACACAAATTTTATGCCACGCCATATAGACATTTTAAAATGAAAATGATAGACAGTCCAAACTGCACTAAATGTAGCCAGAGTGCTGCGGGTACATACCTTCATGTGTTTTGGGAATGCCCCTCAGTCTCTGATTTTTGGAGTAAGGTGGCCAAGTATCCACGTAAAAAATTAGAAATTTTCAATTGTTACTATTCAACGATGATTCTGCTCTAAGTGATAACATCAGGTTAGCCCTTAGGAAGATCATATT